CAAAACCCTGCCGCGACGCTCAGGTACAATGTATCATTGCTTGTTATCATAGTCCACCTTTTGTCAGAGATTGACAAGTCAGAAGGATGTCTGGAAACGGCTTGCAGACGTGTACACTCAGAAGGATATCTAGATCCCACTTCCAAACTTTTCAACCCAGGAACAGGTGTGGAAATAGCTTGCAGAATGTACACCTGCCACGGACTCAGGCTTGTAATAAACTCTAATCACTCTCGTTTGAACACACACATACACAAAACTGATAATGACTATTAATCACAAATTGTTATTAATCCCATTGTTGAAGATGCTGCCACATCTGGAAAGAATATTAAATTGTTGTTGCTCTCAGCCTTCAGAATGTTGCTCCATAATTCAGTGTTTCAGGACGCGAAATACGCCACAACACTCTTCTACTCCTGCCTGGATGTACAACCTGTATATATATACCACAGCACTAATACCACTACCAGCGATTGGCTGTAAGCATTGGTTGGTCTTGGAACTAACATGGTCTCTTCACGAGGTCCCAATACCAACTAATGTCCAATCTCGCTGGGCACAGCACTCAATCCTCACTAAGATTACAGCGATGAAGTGAAATTAATCAAGAGCAGAGGTGTGAAGGGTAGGGGAGGGGCGCGAAGAATAGAGAAGGTGAGGGAAGATGCAGTAACGTGGAGAGTGTGTGTAGGGAAGATGATTGCAGATGATGATGATGTTGTGTAGTGAAGATGTGGGCCACCGTCACCCGGGCAACGCCGGGTACTCCTTCTACTATCTATGTATCTATAAATGGTAATGTCTCTCTGTCCGCAGTTGAAAATCAGACGCTCGGGGCTAGCCGGAGCCAATATTTTGACCAGTAATTGCTGATGGGTACGTGCCCAAAATGGATAGGTCGGGATAAGCGCCAAAGAAAAGAGCGTCACGTGACACTTTGCCAAATCTTTCCATAAGCGACATTTGGCAATATCATTGACGTAACCGTGAATGATTAGTATTGTTATATATTTGTTTATTTGTTGTTGTTGTCATATCTGGAAACGACACGCACTGCGCTCAAGACACCAAAATTAACACAATTTTTATACCGATGATACTTTCCCGCCAAACACACAACGGAACTACGACGTTGCTACAACGTTCGAACAAGTTTTAACACCTAACCAGTTATAAGAACCAATATAGCAAGTTGTAACAACGTTCTAACACGTCATAAACACGTTAAGCCAAGATGTAACAACTTTATTACAAGTTGTAACAAGCGGAAAATAGGGGTAGTTACGGTTTGTGTTTCCAGGGTTGGTTATGTGTAAATAATATGCATGAGTATGTGTCCATGTATATATAACATTAATAATTGTGTAACTAGCGTCAAAAGATTGTTATTTACTTAGCTAAACGAACTAGAGGGTTCAGTTCCTGAACCGATTATGTGCCTCTGTAATCCTTTACACCGCCGCCCACGGGATGGGTATGGGGTGCATAATAAAGAAATTGAATAATACCCGCACCTCACAGGCTTCACGAAAAAAATAACACGTAATGAATAATATAACAATGTAGAGTTGAAGACAATGTATAACCACGAAGGAAAATTAAAACAGGAAATTACTTAAACACTTCCGTGTTAATCAACACATCAACCAAAGTATATTATTACGTGTTGATTATCACGAAATTCAATTTCTTCTTTCTTTATTATGCACCCCATACCCATCCCGTGGGCGGTGGTGTAAAGGATTACAGAGGCACATAATCGATTCAGGAACTGAACCCTCTAGTTCGTTTAGCTAAGCAAATAACAATGTTTGACGCTAGTTACAAAATTATCAATGTTGTATACACATGTACACACCTTCATACATACATGTACACACACACACATATATATATATATATATATATATATATATATATATATATATATATATATATATATATATATATATATATATATATATATATATATATATATATATATATATATATATATATATATATACATATATGACAAACAAGTGTCAAAGATTAAACCCAGAAGCTTAGCGGAATCCTTGTACACAAGGGGAAGACCATAAAGTGACAAAGACGGATGAAGAATGACATGCTTCAGAGTAAAAGTCATACCACAAGTCTTAGACGGAGAGAACCGGAAGTCATGATTGGTGGCCCAGGACGACACGGCATCAATCGCAAGTTGAAGGAGAGGCGAATCATCACCCCGACAGCAAAGGGTAAGATTGTCTACATAGAGAGTGGAGTAGACGCCAGAAGGAAGGGAAGAAAGAAGACCATTGAGAGCAACAAGAGAGTAGTGCTCAGAACACTACCTTGGGGCACACCTTCATATTCCCTAAAAGGGGCAGAGAGTGGTACCAAGCCTCTCTCGAAAGGAACGACGAGAGGAAACTGACCAAATGTAAACAGAGTCAAAAAAGTATTCACATACCCTCCGTCACTATGTGATGGAGTGCAAAAAGATACATGAATTCAGGGACAATTCTATAACCAATGTACCAGAGATGTGTAAATATTTCATTCAAAACAATCTATCATAAATCTTAGCCAAAAATCCCCAGTTTACTAACTGTAGGTAGATTGTAACCTATCCACTGCTGCCCACTAGATAGGGGGGGCGATGTGCAGGACAGACATATCAATTGTCTTTAATTTAGAAACTGTCCTTGTAGTCTATCTTGAACCCAGTGATGATGTGTACTGAATTTCGTAACTAGCTCAAGATTGTAACTTATTTAGCTAAATGAATTGTGGGGTTCGGTCCCTGAGTCCATTATGTGCAAAGTCTTTCCGCTACTGCCCACAGGATGGTTATGAGGTGCATAATAAATGAACTAAACTAAAAATGGACAGATGTAATAGGACCCATTATCACCACACCAGAAATAAATATCTCTTTGATATCCCCAGAGTCAAACTTAATCTGTGTAAACACTCTATGCAAATAAAGGGACCCAGTCTATGGAACTCACTCCCTAATGAATTGAAAAGCTGTCCAACTTTTGCGTCATTCAAAAACAAAACTAAAAAGTACCTAATTTCATCTGCATAGTTTTTTACCTTTTGCTTTAAAATTGCACTGTATCAATTGTTACCCAATCTCCCAACCTTTATGTACCCAATCCGAACATCTTTACCATTGTGATCATTGCTGTCTTCTTATATGTGCTATTAATCTGCTGTATGGTATCTGTTAATCTTGTTTAAATTACCAATCAAGTTGTCAATGTAATCAATCAGAGCTTTAATATACCAATGTGCTTTAATATACTTACTAATCTCTCTCATCTCAGTTTTTTCTTGCAATGTACAGTATCTGTTATCATTTTATTAATTCTGCTAGAATTTACCTACTTAAAATTATCTGTTAGATTAAGGACCTGCCCGAAACGCTGCACGTACTAATGGCTTTATAAGATTGTAAATACTACGCTATGTATTCTCTCTAACCCAATGTACCTTCTTGTATATAAATAAATAAATAAATAAATAAATCATATTGCTTGGACATCAATATTCTGTAGATATTAATAGCAGAAATCTTAAGAATTACTTTCTAAAGAAATTACAAAATACCGCAAATATAATATGTACCCAGGTAAGTAAAACATGGATATTAACTACAAACTTAAATTTGTCTTAAAAAAATTCAGTAATATAAAAAAAATAACAGTGCAAATGTAGAAATAAATACAATATAGCAATATAATCAATAAAAGCCCGTAACATATTATAGGAATATACATATACTGTATATTTACAAGTACTGATGTGTCTGGTATACATATACATATATCATATATATACATATACTGTATATATTTACATATACTGCTTTACAAGACTGTAATTACCATATTTGTATCCTCACATTCCTTATGTACATTCTTGTATATGCATAAATAAATAAATAAATAAAAAGTATATCCTCTGTACATAAAAGAAATTTAAGTCAAGTTCCATTGATCTGTTACTTCTTTCTTTGAGCACTTCCGACAAACTAAAATAAAAATAAAACTCAAACAGTTCAATGTATTCCTTTTAAATTTGATTGCATCTTAGCAATCTTAATTAATAACTTTTACCAACTAAAAATTAAAAATGCTTGATGCTCAGAATGCACGATAAAGCTGACCAAATTGGAAATATTTTAGCATTTTAAAACAAGTTAATCATGTTGTTGATACATTTGTGCTTGAAATAGCAGCCGAAAGAAACTTAATAGTTTTCATTCACACCTAAACCTTCAATTGTCACCAGACATATCTCGCCCACAAGACCATACCATCATCATCACTTAGTTTCTTGAATATACTTGATCATTCCACATCATATTCCTCTCTAGGTTAATCTTGTAAAATAGCCGAATGAAAACTTAATAGTGTTCATTCGGTTGCTATTTCAAGCTCATGTGTGTGTCAACAACATGATTAACTTGTTTTAAAATGCTAAAATATTTCCAATTTGGTCAGTTCTGTCATGCATGCTGAGCATCAAGCATTTTTAATTTTTAGTTGGTAAAAGTTATTAACTATAAACTTAAATTGATTTCAGCCAGTAACGTATTATATTAAAATGCATATAAAGCACATCCTCTTAACATAAAAGAAATAAAAGTTGTTTCACTGAGCTTTTGCTTCTTTCTTTTAGCAATTCTGATGTAAAATAAGTAAAATAAAAATTAAACACAGTTCAATGGATTCCTTTTAAATTTTAATGAATCTTTGGAATCTAAAATAATAACTTTTACCAACTAAAAATTAAAAATACTTGATGCTCAGAATGCATGATAAAGCTGACCAAATTGGAAATATTTTAGCATTTTAAAACAAGTTAATCATGTTGTTGACACATTTGTGCTTGAAATAGCAGCCGAATGAAACTTAATAGTCTTCATTCACACCAAAATCTTCAATTGTCACCAGACACATCTCGCCCACAAGACCATATCATTATCATCATCACTTAGTTTCTTTTCACTTTCCTTTTTTTGATTTTCGTCCTGGTTGTTTCCTGGCTCCAGTGTTCTTGGGCTTTGCCTTACGCCGACCTTTACGCAGTTTCTTCGCTCTCTGTCGTCTGGAAGGAGTTGACTGTGGAACACTTTCAAGATTACATGATGACGTTGCAGATGAGGAATGCTCGTGTGAAGTTGATGTAGACTGATCTTTTATGTGGAATGAGCCATGTGAGGATGAAGACGATGGAGTTTGGACATGAGATGAAACTACAGAGGATGATGATGTGGAATGATCAAGTATGTTGAATGAACTATGTGATGATGATGATGAGGATATATCTTGCGGCCGAAATGTGCTTGGTGACATGAATGAAGGCTTTGGTGTTAATGATTTTGGGTGTGTGAATTCATGGGAAGTGGTTATGATTTCAGCTGTTTGCAACTGGGGCTTTCCTGAACCTGAAATTAAAGTTCTTTCATTAATTTTGGGTAATGGAAAATTCCATACCTATTATACACCCCACACCCATCCTGTGGGCGGTTGTGTAAAGAGTTACGAGGCACATAATCGGTTCAGGAACTGAACCCCCCTAGTTCGTTTAGCTAAGCAAATAACAATCTTTTGAAGCTAGTTACACAGTTATGAATGATGTTATATATACTCTTACATATACCTATAATAAATAAATAAAATTTAGAAATGGCAAATGAATTTAATAGTTTCTTTTCATCGGTTGGTGCTAATCTTGCCAGTAAAATCCCACAGACTCAAGACATATCTCTCAGGTAGCTATCCAAACTCTCTTCTCCTTTCACCAATCAGCCCGGCAGATGTTGTATCCATCATACACTCTCTAAAAACCAAGGCAGGGAACACCAGTGAAATTCCGTCCATTGTATACAAGAGAGCCTCCCATGCCGTTGCCCCACCCATAGCCCTACTGTTCAACAAATCTATAGAGTGTTACACCTTCACTGATATCCTCAAAAAAGCAAGAGTAACGGCAGTCCATAAAGGAGGCAATCCGGCGGACATAAACAATTATAGACCAATATCAAATCTACCCATTCTATCAAAAATATTTGAAAAAATTATTTACAAACAGCTCTATTCCTACCTCGTAAAATTCGACATACTCAGCCCCTGCCAGTTTGGCTTCCGGTCCCAAAAGAGCACCAACGATGCAATCTTAGTCTCCTTGACGTAATCTACTCAGCCCTTGACAAAAATGAGTTTCCGATTGGACTCTTCATTGACTTAAGAAAAGCCTTTGATACTGTTAATCACAACTACCTCTTACTTAAACTCCAGCATTATGGAATCCGAGGCCTTGCTCTTGACTACATCTGATCCTATCTTAGTGACAGACACCAATATGTAGCCATCAATGATACAACTTCTTTCACTCTACCAATTACCGTTGGAGTGCCACAGGGCAGTATCTTAGGACCTCTTCTATTTCTTATATATATAAACGATCTGCCTAATGTCTCTAATATTCTCAAACCTATATTGTTTGCTGACGATACTACCCTTATCTATTCAGACTTCAACCCACATACACTAAATAATTTTGTGAATAATGAATTAAAAAAAATCCACTTATGGATGTCAACGAACAAACTAACATTAAACATCGAAAAGACTTATTACATCTTATTTGGAAGCAAATCATCAAATGCAATTCAGCTACAGATAGACAACATTAACATCAGTAATAAAAATGATGGCAAGTTTCTTGGCCTATTCCTAGACAAGAAACTCAACTTCAGCACCCACATTCAACACATAATCAAGAAAGTCTCTAAGACAGTTGGTATACTCTCCAATATCAGATATTATGATCCTAACTCTGCTCTCCTCTCACTATATTATGCACTAATCTACCCCTATCTTAATTATGGTATCTGTGCATGGGGGTCTACCACTGCAAACCACCTTAAGTCCATTATCACGCAGCAAAAATCTGCTATCAGAATAATAACTAACTCTGCTTTCAGACAACACTCAGCTCCCTTGTTTAATTAAGTCCCAAAACTTGCTAAATATTAACTCCCTCCACACATTCTCCTGTGTCAACTACATTTACAAAACCCTGTTCTTAAATGCAAACCATGCTCTGAAACTCTCCCTGGACAGATGTAATAGGACCCATTATCACCACACCAGAAATAAATATCTCTTTGATATCCCCAGGGTCAAACTTAATCTGTGTAAACACGCTATGCAAATTAAGGGACCTAGTCTATAGAACTCACTCCCTAGTGAATTGAAAAACTGTAAAACTTTTGCCTTATTTAAAAGCAAAACCAAAAAGTACCTAATTTCATCTTCTTAGTTTCCTACACTGAACTTTAAATTTGCTCTGTACCTAGTGTTACCCAATCTCCTAATTTTTATGTATTTAACCCAAACAACCTTATCATTGTGTTCATTGCTGTCTTCTTTTATGTGCTAGCCATATGCTGTATTGTGCCTACCAATTTTTGTCAACTACCATTCAAGCTGTCATTGCAATCAATCTTAGCTACCTATGTGCTTTAATATACTGTACCTGCAATGTTCTCTCATCTTTTTTTTTTCTTGCCATGTATGTTATCATTTTTTTTTATAAATTTTGCAAGTATTTACCTACTTAAAATTTTCTTTGATTAAGGACCTGCCCGAAACGCTGCACGTACTAGTGGCTTTACAAGACTGTAATTTATGTAAAAAAAAAAAAAAAAAAAAAAAAAAAAATTATATATATATATATATATATATATATATATATATATATATATATATATATTATTAAATATGACTGAAAAAGTAAGATTAATAATTCTAACACGAATTTTCTCAATATTTCTTATGTTTCTTTTCACTGTCGATGGTAATTGAAAAATCAATTCTCCAAAATTCATTTTTATTTCTAGTGTGACGCGACACTTGAACGCGTTTCGTAATAACTTATTACATTTTCAAAGACTTTAGTTTACACACACACACAACTATAACCTGCAAACACTAAACAGAGTTTAAACAGCTTTCATTTTATACCTGCATTTGGGTGAGGTGATATGTTACAACAACAATATGTTGTTGAAACATATTGTTGTATGTTGTACAATATGTTGTTGTAGTCTATGAAAATGTAATAAGTTATTACGAAACGCATTCAAGTGTCGCGTCAGACTAGAAATAAAAATGAATTTTGGAGAATTGATTTTTCAATTACCATTGACAGTGAAAAGAAACATAAGAAATATTGAGAAAATTCGTGTTAGAATTATTAATCTTACTTTTTCGGTAATATTTAATAATATATGTCTACAGGAAAGACTGCTACCAAAATATACTAAAAATATACTAATATATATATATACAGTGGCACCTCGATTTACGATAATTTCGAGTTACAATGTAAATTTCATCGAAAAATGCGACTCGACATCCGATGGTGTCGTCGACTTCCGATATTTGTTGGTACACGTTCGAGTCGACCGGGCACGTGGTTCCCGGTCACGCGGTCTGCCCTGTCTCAGTTTACTACAGCTACCTGCTTAGTGACGATCGTGCCTATAAGAAATTCCGCGTTTGTGGTGATTTTTTTGCATTTGAACATTAAAGTAATTATTATATATCATGTAATGTGTCCCAGGAAAGTCAGTGGTAAAGCTCAACATATGAAAACCCATGTAAGGATGACCATAAAGCAGAAACAGGAGTACAGAATGTCTCTTCCTCAATAATTAAGGAAATGTGTGCAGCATGGGAAGAATTGCAAACCTTTCCTGAAACGACTCACCCAAATCAAGCTGCAGTAGGTCGTTGCCTTAACCTTTTCAATGACACTGTGATGCATCATTACAGACAAATGTTAAAACGAAGGGAAAAACAAATGTCTCTTGACAAATTTGTAGTGAGACAAACAAGCCCTGAACCACAACCAGGTCCTAGTGGTATTCAGGCAAAACGTAGGAGAGAGAGTGCCCCAGAGGAAACATCACTGCCTGATGTGATAATGGAAGGGGACTCCCCTTCCAAACAATAACAACTCTCCTCCTCCCCCCCCCTCATCACCATCTTCCATACTCCATCAAGAGCCTTCCATTAAGGTAAGTGAAACTTTGGTACTGTATTGTAGTTAGAAAAAAACCATTGTATTCAGTATAAAATGTATTTGTATGTCAATATTTTGGAGGGTGGGGAACAGATTAATTCAAATCCCTTTATTTCTTATGGGAAAAATCGCTTCAACTTACGATATTTCGACTTACGATCTGTCTCTGGGAACGGATTAGCATCGTAAGTCGAGGCCCCATTGTATGTATGTATGTGTATGTATACACACACACACTCTCAACCAACTTGGCGGCAGCTTTACAGTCATGTACAAGCAGTATCTACAGTATGCAAATTTTGGATACTTCGCTAAGACTCCTGGCAGTACATCATTATGAATGAAGCACTTACGCATTTCTTGGACTCAAATGATGGTGTTATCTCTGAATTCCGCAATTTTTTCACATTCAATTATACAATGAAGCAAAGTATGCGAATAGTTCTGCTGACAGTTTACATTTAGTGAAATCTATATCAGCAGATGTCACAAACTCCAAGAGGTAAGCCAAGCCTAAGCCTAGCAGTGGTAACATCTAGAAGTCTGCTAACCTTATTGGATGACCCATAGGCATGCAGTTCTTCCTGTATAATAGAATGATAATAGATGGAGGAACTGTTTTGAATTTCACTTCGCCCCAAGTCTTTAAGATTTTTTTTAGGTTCCCGGAATATTACTGCCCTCAGGCTGCTCAAAGGCAGTCCAAGATGGCAATCAATTCCTTCTTTATGAGCAAAAGTCTTGGCCAACTCATCAGTTCTATCATGCATTTGGAGACCAATATAGGAAGGAATCTACAGGAGAACTCCATCATTGATTATTTCATAATATCCGTGTCTAGCTTCAGAGATAAGCATGTCACAGTTATGCCTTGGGGAGGTGAGAGCAGTCAAGGATGACAAGGAGTGACAATGGGAGATGGTTTACATTTTGAGTGGGGGAGTCCATATAAACAACTAGGCGTCTACCCTTCAGACTGAACTATTTGCCTTGCTTCTTGCACGGAAATGTGTACAAGTCTTCAAACTAGATACATTAATTGTAAGTGACTCTCATCCTTAATTGTTCTCAACTCTTTAAGATATAACTGTAACATGTTCGTGCCTGAAGCTAGACACAAATGCAACAATATTATTATTGATGGTAACAAGGTCCATTTCATGTGGACTCCATCTCATGTTGGCCTCCGAATGCATGATGGAGCTGATGAGTTAGCCAAAGAATCTGCCTTTATAGGAAAAAATGAGTATCACCTTGGATTGTCAATAAGCAGTTTGAGAGCAATAGTAAACAAAAGAACTTCAACAAAATCTTGTAGATCTGAGGCAAAGTGAAATCAATACCAGTAATTCCATCAATCATCATACTATCATGCAAGAGGAGCCACACATCTATGGATCATCCAATAAAATCAGCAGACTTCTAGATATTACTACTGCTCAGCTTAAACTCGGTTACAAGTATTTCTGGGAATTCTCATTAAATGCTGATGAAGACCTGACCAAATGTAATCTGAGTCAACAAAAATATTCACACACCTTCTGTCACTGTGTGATAAGAGTGCGAAAAGATGCTTGAATTCAGGGACAATTCTATAACAAATGTTCCAAAGATGTGTAAATATTTAATTCAAAATGATCTGCTACCAGATATTTTAGCCAAATATCCCCCAGTTTACTTACTGCAGGAAATAACTAAGTGATTGTAACCTATCCACCACTGCTCACTGGATAGGGGGCAGTGTGCAAAACAAACATATAAACTGTGACACTAGCTCTCCACATATGTCTGTTGCTTAATTTAGAAACTGTACTTTTGGTCGATTTTGAACCCAATGATGATGTGACGACGTATATTGAATTTTGTAACTAGCTCAACAAGATTGAACTTGCTTAGCTAAATGAATTGTGTGGTTCAGTTACTGAGCCCATTATGTGCCTCTGTAATCTTTTCCACTACCACCCCACAAGATGGGTATGGGGTGCATGATAAATGAACTAAACTACAACTAACTTGCTAACATACACTTATGTTCATTTTGAGACAAAGCAACTTTATATTTTGCAACGCCACAAACACTCATAACATTCCCTAAAAAAAAATTACTGTACTTGAATCTAGTTATTAAGTTAAATTGGAACTTCACAAACTAAACATCATTATGTACAACGGCTTTGCACACAATATTAAATTGCTACACATACCTTTACATTTTGTCTTCAGTTCTTTGTACTGAAACTCGTGATGCCCTGTCTTCGGTTTCACCGACTTCATCAAGCAAAGAAAAACAAAAAATTAATATAAATACAGTAATAGCCAAGAAATTCTTGATGGAATACATCTGGTAAAGATCATCAGGGCAAATAGGGTGTATGTATGTATGTATATATGTGAATATATATATATATATATTATATATATATATATATATACTAGTATATATATATATATATATAACTGAAAACTCACACCCCAGAAGTGACTCGAACCCATACTGCCAGGAGCAACGCAACTGGTATGTACAGGGACGCCTTAATCCGCTTGACCATCACGACCGGACAAAAGGAAGTGATAGCCGAAGCTATTTGAACCACTTCCAAGCCGGCACTCGGATGGTAATCTTGGGCATAGCATTTTATCAAATCACCTCATTCTTTGGGGCACACGTGAGGAACACAAATGCAAACAAGCCTGAATGGTCCCCAGGACTATATACAACTGAAAACTCACACCCCAGAAGTGACTCGAACCCATACTGCCAGGAGCAAGGCAGGTACCTGTGTAAAAATGTCGTCAACATACCTGCAGTATATGGCCAGTTTCAAGTTCATGTCGGATAAGACTTTTTGCTCGATGCTGAACTTGAAACCGGCCATATACTGCAGGTATGTTGACGACATTTTTACACAGGTACCTGATGTCAGACATCTGCAGGAGCTGAAGGAGGCATTTGAGCAGAGTTCCGTGCTGCGTTTCACTTACGAGATGGAAAAGGATGGGAAGCTGCCCTTTCTAGATGTAACAGTCATGGAAAAGAGCGGAGGTTTCCACACTGCAGTCTGCACTAAGGAAACGAACATAGGAATGTGCCTAAATGCCAACAGCGACTGCCCAGACAGGTACAAGAGGAGTGTTGTTAACGCATATGTCGACCGTGCTCTCAGCCACAGCTCAGAATGGAAGCAAGTCGACGAAGAACTCTGTAGGGTAAGGCAGGTCCTAGTCAACAACGGCTTCTCCAATAGTTTCCTCGAAGACATCATAAGAAGGAAAGTGAAACGCCATGCAACCTCTGAAGAGACAACTAACACAACACCTATACCCCCTATTAGACTATTTTACAGGAACTTCTTTTCCACAGCTCATAAAACGGAGGAAAGGGTCCTGAAAGATATTGTTAATAGAAACGTTATCCCTACAGACAAAAATCAGAGGATACAACTGACGATTTACTATAAAACCAGAAAAACGGCCAGCCTACTCATGAGAAACTCTCCAGACACAAAACAGAACGCTTTAAAAGAGACTAACGTCGTCTATGCCTTCAAATGCCCTCTTGGGGACTGTAAGCTCCAAAAAACCCAGTATATAGGCAAGACAACAACATCTCTTTCTAGGCGTTTAACGATGCATAAGCAACAGGGCTCCATTAAGGAACATATAATCTCTTCCCACAACCAAACCATCGCCAGAGAAATCCTAGTAAACAACACAGAAATCATCGATAGATACAGCGATAGCAGGCGGCTTGACGTTTGCGAGGCACTACACATCAAGAAGTCAACACCAGCAATCAACAGCCAATTAATGCACAACTATATTCTACCCACCTCAAGACTCCGCTCCAATATAGAAGCATCAAGAAATATGGACCAATAGGCTTTCTACAAACACTTCTATTCAATACCCATTGTTTCGTGTTCTGTCTTGTGTTGATGAAATTAATACCCTATTAATGCCACCTCTTGTTCTGTCTTGTGTTGATGAAATTAATACCCTATTAATGCCACCTCACCCCATCCACCTCACTCAAATGTAGATATAAAATCGGAGATGCGTAAGTTCTATTCAGTTGTGTATTTGTAAACTAAAGTCTTTGAAAATGTAATAAGTTTTACGAAACGCGCTCGTGTCGCGTCAGACTAGAAATAAAATGAATTTTGGAGAATTGATTTTTGATTTACCTCCAACAGTGAAAAGAAATGTACGAAAGATTGAGAAATTCGTGTTAGAATTATTAATCTTACTTTTTCGGTCATATTTAATAATATATGTCTACAGGAAAGACTGCTACCAAATATACTAATATATATATATATATATATATATATATATATATATATATATATATATATATATATATATATATATATATATATATATATATATATATATATATATATATATATATATATATATATATATATATATATATATATATATATATAATATATATATATATATATATATATATATATATATATATATATATATATATATATATATATATATATATATATATATATATATATATATATATATATATATATATATATATATATATATATATATATATATATATATATATATATATATAATATATATATATATATATATATAGCAAGAACACTAGTTACACTTTTGTACCATATCACCTCATCCAAAAGAATATAAGTACAAAGAATTTGTGTGTAAATTAAATCTTTGAAAATGTAATACAAAATTGCGAAATGGGTTCAGGCGTCAGACAATTAAAAAATTAATTTAGGAGAATTGTTATTTTTATTACCACCGACAGTGAAGAAAAACATAAGAATTATTGAGAAGATTCGTGTTAGAATTATTAATCTTACTTTTCGGTCATATTCAACACCATATATACCAAAATATACTAATATATATATATATATATATATATATATATATATATATATATATATATATATATATATATATATATATATATATATATATATATATATATATATATATATATATATATATGTCGTACCTAGTAGCCAGAACTCACTTCTCAGCCTACTATTCAAGGCCCGATTTGCCTAATAAGCCAAGTTTTCCTGAATTAATATATTTACTATAGTTTTTTTCTTATGAAATGATAAAGCAACCCTTTTCTCTATGTATGAGGTCAATTTTTTTTTATTGGAGTTAAAATTAACGTAGATATATGACCGAACCTAACCAACCCTACCTAACCTAACCTAACCTATATTTATAGGTAAGGTTAGGTTAGGTAGCCAAAAAAAGCTAGGTTAGGTTAGGTTAGGTAGGTTAGGTAGACAAAAAAACATTAATTCATGAAAACTTGGCTTATTAGGCAAATCGGGCCTTGCATAGTAGGCTGAGAAGTGCGTTCTGGCTACTAGGTACGACATATATATATATATATATATATATATATGTCGTACCTAGTAGCCAGAACGCACTTCTCAGCCTACTATTCAAGGCCCAATTTGCCTAATAAGCAAGTTTTTATGAATTAATTGTTTTTCGACTACCTAACCTACCTAACCTAACCTAACCTAACATTTTCGGCTACCTACCCTAACCTAACCTATAAAGATAGGTTAGGTTAGGTTAGGTAGGGTTGGATAGG